CCTTCCAACTCCTGAGATTCTGTGATACTTCAAACCTATCTGTTTTTATAGAAGATCCGTTACACTCCCCTGCAAAGTGGTACTACACTGAAAAATGATGTCTGCTAGGAAGTATACAGGAACACACACGCCAAATCCGCAAGTGTACCTCCAAACATGCACCAATTCAGCATGCAAACGAGACACGTTAATGACTGGCCAAAACCACATAACTGCATTTTTATAAATAGACCTTGAGCAATATCCCAAATTATCAGTCATAACACTTAGTTTGAGGTAATCAATTCCACGCAAAATTACTCCACATTTTACTCCTGCCATTTTTCTGTAAATTTTTACGTATCTGAGGAGGATGCTTTAGCACATAGTAATTGTGCTGAAATTAGGCTTGGTGAGGGACTACAGCAGCTGCAGAATCTCATTGTTGGACTGAGCATGAGATCCAAGTCTTCTGAAAAATGCTTTAATATGCCAAAACTGGTCCTAGGGGTCCTAGAGCTTAGAACAAACAGGCCACAAAGGCCAGATTCTGCTGGGTAAGTTAGCCTAGCAATGACACGCTAGTGCTGCCATAGCTGGTAATGGTGATCTGAAGGGCAGAAGTCACAGCCAAAGCAAGGCAGGACATGGCAGCCAGAGAAACAGACAGGAATCCAAGGGGTGTGAAGAGGCAGCAGGGAGATACGCAAATTGTTTGGTTTAGGGATGTGGACACTACTTTCCAGCCTGGTAATCAAGTGAACCAGAAAGGCAACAACTAGATGAGTTTGTATCTTTAAGTCTGGCAAGGAAACAATTTTAAAGTAATCCAAGAAAACCTTGCTTTTGATGTTTACTGCAGAAGCAAGGTATCTTTATTCAGTTTTTGACACGGACTCATAAACTACAGTAGTACCATATTGTGAGCAATAACATAGTCAAAGTATTCCTGGTTAATAAATGACAACTCTTCACTGAAGTAACTGGCCATGAGCTATATACAGATTAACATTTTATCTCTCACAGTTTAACAAATATAACTAGACGTAGCTGGTATTTTTTCCTTTTAAATTAGGAAATGCTAATTCTCAGGAATTCTTAGGATAGAAACAACTTGGCTAAGAGTCAGTAGGAAGGCTGGAAATTCAGTCAAAGTAAGTTTTCAGCTAGCACATAGCACCACCACATCACCTCAAAAACCAAATAAACACCCTCTGTTAAAATCCTCAACAGTGGGCTGCAAGCTTGCAGATCCCCACAGAATAGTAAACCTGCTCATCAGGCCACTCTCTAGGGTATGGAGAGCTCACACTCCTTTCCTTGAACTAAACTGAAAGCACAGGGACAAGAACCTGGTCCAAGTTCTAGACTTGTACCCTTTTTCTCCAAAAGTTTTACAGTTACTTCCTCAGAAAGGCAAATAAATTATTTCCCATGTAACCATAACTTCCATGTTTTGTTGTGGTGTATTTGAAATTGGAACCTAAGTAGGGAGATGTTTATGTAAAAGGTTTAAGAAAAAAGAGGAAACCTTTCCATTTAAGATTAAAGGCACTACTTAATATGAAAAATCACAACAGTGTAAGATACACAGCACACACTCCCTAACCTTTAGAAAGGAAAACTTGTCAAAACCCTTTAAGATGTGCATGTAAAGAGACAAAGACAAATTATAGAAAAAGGTACCCATTTATTCAAGGTATGACAAGGATATTTACAGTATTCATTTGCTCAGAGTAAGATCCATCCTGATGATTTTTAAAGCAGCAATTATAAATTAAGTTTAAAAGGGGAAATGCTCCAAGCATGTTTCTGTTAAAGATATTTTTACAACTACAGAAACACTTTTAAGGCTAAGTAATTTTGACCTTTGCTTGGCAAAACTGTCTCAAAGACAACGTTACCTTGAGAGAAAAAGACTATGCTAAATTCAACATACAATTTTGTTCCCTCAGATGCTTTTCACAACATTTCACATCTGACAAAAGTTGACTTTTGATTTAAAACAATTAAACAGAAGTGAGACTAACTGCCTACATCCTAGCATTCCAGAAGGCTAAAAAAATTAATCATGTAGTGCATCACATTCATCACCTCTGAAAGATACCATCAGATTTCTTGTTGATGATGGTACTTCAGCTAACTGAGCAATTTGCTTTCAGGCAAAGCTCCATAGTTATGTGGTGCAACCCACCTTTTTTACATTACTTTTCAAAAAACAAGAACAAAAATCTTCAGGTAGCTGACCTCTAATGTAAATGATGAACACTGTCTGCTTGAAACTGGACTTGATTCCCACAGTATAGACTAGTGCTCTATGAAAGCAAACAAGACGAGTTTGCTAAACTGCTGTAGTGTTGTTCTCAAAGCATTTTAACACACAACAGATTTATGGGAGCAGTTAAAATTGGTTCATCTCTTGAGGTAGAAGCCACAAGTCATATTTAGTCCTGTCTGTAAACTATAACACACCTACCATCAGGAAAATATAGATAATTTTTGTCACTTATAAAATAAACCCACTGATTTTCCAGATGCTATTAATTGTAAATGTAATGGCATTTTTTTTTCACTGAATCATGTTGTGCCTGTTTGAGAAGGAAGCAAATTAAATATCTGGAACAACAGATTGTGACTATTTATACAGTTGTAATGAAAAATGAAATATCTTACAGAAAACCCCAAGAAGCAATCTCTAGAGCAACACCCAAAAGGGATGGTATATGAGGATTCTTCTTAACTTAGAAGTTATTTTGGAAATAACCAATTTTAACTGCATAACAGGAGGAAAAAAACCCAACCAACCAGTCATTAGAACTTTAAGACAACAAAGCTACTTGAAATACTACCATCTAATTTCAGTGGGGTTTTTTTAAGGATTACATTTATGGGAAAAGAAAGTTAAAGACAACAGAAACCCCTGAAGCCTCCACAAATACAATTTACATAATGATCACATTTTGTTAGGTGACGACACTATGTAACTACATCTATTGAAAGTGCACAATGTTTAACATTCCAATAGAAGTAGAAATGTGACCCTTGCATTAGTAGGGGGTATTTATTCCAAGTTAGCTAAGAATCTCACAGCAAAGTCACTGTTGTGACTGATAGAAGTTTTGAGTTATTTGAAGATAACCCAAGCAACAAGTTAAAAAACATATGGAGATTGGCACTTGATCTTTACTTAGCCCCATTACCTCCATTTTCTCCCCAGAGACTCACGTACACAGAACTTGAAGTTTTCATTTTATTACTGTAAAAAGTAAGTCAATTTTTTCTTCCAGAGTAAACAAAGAAACCTTAGCTTCAAACTACTTAAAAACAAAGGTTCAAATTTTGATAAGATACTTTTCACAGGGTTCATGTCAGCACCTTAACCAAATGCTTTTTTTTTTTAATGAATTAAGCATATTTCACAAAGTTTTCATGTTAGTGACAAAGGGCTACATTCTCATCTGGACACACGTGTAACATGTCTTAAGAACAAACTGGAAGGAGTGCAAGTCAATTTCCAGAGTTCCCAGTTGAGCTCTACATTTCAGAACCAACATTTAAGACTGAAGATTGACATTTTGCATATTCCAAAATGGAAGGCAAATACAATCAACTCACATTTGGCTTTGAAACATTAAGATAACAATGTTTTATTTCAGCCACATATTTACAAAAATGCTTACAACAGAACCGTGTAGGGTTTCCTTTTTTTTTGTCATAATACACTTAAAGATGAATAGTCATCTTAACCTTCATGCAAAGACGCATCTCTTGTTACACAAGAAGTTTTAGGTTTGGCTTTTTTGTTGTTTTTTTTGTTGTTGTTGTTTGCTCCCCCCCCCCCACTCTGAGGATAGCAAGCAGAGGGTTGGATACGTTTGGATCACCCTTAAAAATGTAGGCCTGTTTTCTCTACTGCACCTTCAAAATAAGGAGGTAAAGTACAGACACTGTTCATTCCACAAGGGTTCATTGCCTCTAGTTTTTCCAAAAACAAAAGTCTTGAACAGTTGTAACATGGGTTATTCCGTAACTTTCACCTCTTCAGTTTGCTTCCTGAACTCTGCAGTTACTTTCCTAGAAGCATACTTGCTGAGCTTCTTTTCTAATGTATATTGTTGACTATACATTTTAATTTAAACTGTTATGTAAAGAATGTAACAAGCTTTTCCTCTGTACACAACATAATCTTTGTGCTGAGTATTCTTCAAAAGGATTTTATAAATAATACAGTAAGTTTAGATCAGTCTTCCACTCTTCTTGTCATTATACCATGTTGTTGCTTTCTCCAACTTTATCTACAAGCTGCAGAAAAGGAGACAAAAAGGTTTTAAGTGACATGATATTTATGTACAGTGAAGTTATTCTCAAATATTACTTGATAATTGCACAGTTAGTATGCAACTGAAAATGAGAGTCAAGTAGTACTCACCAAGGTCTCATGATTTAAGTTTGTGAAGTCTTACATTGTAATTGTGTTTCTGCATGACATGTTTTTCTTATATAGACATTAACAGTGCAACATGAAGATGCAACAGAATGAAAAAGGAAATAGAAGAATGCAGATAACACTGCTAGCTTAATGATTAAAACAAAATACAATATCAGACGCACATGCATTAGTAGACCAAGTAAGATATTTCAACTGACCATTACTGTGGATTCTCTTCTGAGCCTACGTAGGCTTTGAATAAAACATTAACAATTATCTATTTAAAACAAGATTTAACCCCATTATGATCAAATTAAATGTGACTAAGTAAGATCAATTGACAATGAAACATTCAATTGATCATTAAGTGAGCCAGAACTTGGCCTAACTTAAGACTGGAACAGATGATCTTGAAAACTAATTCTTAAAAAACACTGTATACATCTAAGTTATAGACCCTATTAATTTTTTTTAGTAATAGCTATTAAAACTGTCGCTTTCAGAACTAGGGTTAAAATACTTGTGTTAAAATACATACAGAAATTAGCACAGTAAAAGTAGTTGACTGAAACACTCTAGATTACCATCTTTCTGGCACCTGTTAATTGTCTTCAAATCCCTGGCTATTTGATTAAGAAAATGTAAAACTGCATTTGAAAAAATACAAATAATTGTACATGTAGTCTGGTGCAGTAGACCCTAACAAAGGTATCTGATGAATGATTATGCATCACGAGAGTTTCTGGACTCACCATACCAGCTGCAACTTAATATTGAAGTAAACTGTTTACTTTTACAGGCCACTTTTCATAAATATATCCATATTCTACACAAAGAAGAACAGTGCCCTCCTAATCATACAGCCAAGAGAAGAGGCACAGAACAGTGGCATCATTTGCCTATTTGGTCACTCAGGGCCCACAGTGAAGCAGGAAGCAGAACCCCAGCATTTTGAGTCACAATCTAGGGCTCTTTGCACAATGTGTGAGCAGAGGCAGCTTCTGCAAAGGTATCCTTTTGTTCCTTTTACATCTAGAAGCCTCTCACTGGGAATGAAGGTGATCTGAATGGTGCAAACACTATACAGGAATACACCCAAGTTACTGCTCTAAGTTATACTTGTTATATTTCTTACACATTTCTACTACTGCTATAACAATGAACGGAAAACAGTACGAGCTTCAAATTTTGCATGAAGTACTGAACACTTACCGAGCTTATACCAGGTAAATTCAAGAGATACCCAAGAACCGGAACTCTTCTAATAAAGCCAACCACCACAGGAAAGAACCCCCTTTAGGTAAGATATCAGAAGACTGTATTAGTTTTTAAAATTAAACTATTCTCATATTGCTATAAAATGAAGAATTGGGAGGTATTTTAAAACCAAGATTACATAAAATAATGTAGCTTGTTAGCAGGAAATTAATTTTACCAAATATATCAATCATTCAGCAGAGAAAGGAGGAAATCAGGAAAGAAACACCTTATTTTCAAATTGACTTTAAAGTCAGGGATTTTGAGCCAGGGGATGTTGCCTAGCATAGCTGCTATGGTGTAACTGCCTGCACTGTCCACTTTGTCTCTGCGGCAGGGAAACAATTTTTCTATGGCAGTACAATTAAGCTCATAGTGGTATTCTGAGTTCTCTACATTCCTTGAGTAGAGTAAGGATTAACATGTAATGAAACCTCAGCCACAGTGAAACAGTGAAGTTTCACAAGTCATCATCCTCTTCACTACACTTACGAGAGTTATTTACTAAATGATGTCCAAGTTTCTCCTGGAGATACTCTTTTTTTAAAGACCTGATAATTTCAATGGTCCAGTAAATTGTGATGCAGGGCACAAAACCCACTTGTAACAGATAAAAACAATTGGTGCAGCTAAGGATAAAAACAGTCAGTACAGACAGGATAGTATTGTAAGCCTTAATTTTTGGATGCCTGTAACCTGAACAAGGCTCCAAAAGCAGCTAAGAGCACAAGAGATATTGTCCCATAATAGCTTTCTCCAGTGAATGCAATCTGAACATGTGAAAGTATGGCAAAAGACTAAACCTCCAATGGGAAACTTGCAGCAGCACATTAAAGACAAGGGAAAGATTCTAGATTTAAAGCAGAGTAAAATAATAGTGTCTCTCGCACAGTCAGAAGCATATTTTTAAAAAAAGTCCTCTTTGCAATCCTGTCTTAAGTGTTCTTGGTCACCAGTACCTAACTACTGCTTTGTGGACAACAGGGGCTCTGCAATTACTGCTACAGGGTATATGAAATGTGACTGTGTAAAAGTAGTCTAAATATGCAAGAAAACAACCTACAAGTAAAGACAGAATCTTTGACTTTGAGCAATCTAACACCTAGTTAAACTGGTTTCGTGGTCTAAAAAAATAGACTGGAAAAAGTACAAAACAGTGGTTTACATTTTTATTATCTTATTCTGAGTTAAAGTTACTAAAACTGCTAAATTGCTCTTGATAAGCATAAATGTTTTTCACATAAAATTCCTGGTAACCCACATAACTAGAACCACTAGGATACAAAGAAATGTCCATCCTCACACCACACTCCCCTAACAAATCCAAAGGTGCATAAGTCGATCTGGTATTCACAGGGCCTTATGTACTTCAGAGACCAATGATAACCAGAGAGAATCCTGAGGAATCATATAAAACAATGCTTGAGGAAAGGCTCAAATTTTTCACTTCTCCAGAAAGAGGCAAGTTGTCAAAGACGGCTGAAATGAACAAGACTGAAGCAAAACAAAAAGCTTTGTTTGAAGTAGTAACTAGGTACCTTCATAGCAAGGGATTTAGATTCTAAGATCTATGAAGCACTAGAAAAAATGGCCTAGGGAAGTTTTAAATTGAAACAGATCAAATAAACATTCACACCTGCAATTATATATGCCTCACTGATACTCCTATGGCTATGGGATAGTCCTAGTGACAACAGATCTTCTATAATCCCTTCAACATTATTTTACCCTGCTAGCCCCTGGCTGGTACCAATAAATAATCCACAACCATACCTGCTTAGACATAATTTATAATTCTTTCACGATCTTTTAAAAGGAGGTGTGTGTGGTTGGAAACACATTCTACTTGCTTTGTACTGGCTGATTAAACTCAAGTGGTACATGAAAGAAGTGACAACTTATTCAGTAAAATACTCCGATTTTCAAAACACTTGCAATATTAGAGTTCAGAGTAATACAAAGTAGAACAATAAGCAGCATATACTAAAAGCCAAGTTAAGACTTTTCAAAATATATTTAAACATTTTATCTAAAAATAAATACAAGATTAACATACAATTTTACTAAGAGGAAAAGAAAAAGAACACCATGAGAACAGTGGTTTGATTTTGACCTGTAGTATTTAGCCAGCGGCTGAACACTTCAGAAATAATTTAGGGGTCTGTTATTAGATTAACAAACATTAATAGAACAGTCTTCATCTGAACAGAAGTCTAAGAACTACTAAAAGCCTTCACTCTCACTTATTAGCATATTTCATACTTTGTTCTATACTGAAGTATGGAACTTCAACTATGGCAATAAAGATAAATTATAGATATACAGGTTGTAACAAGTCAAATTTTTTCACCATTACAAATGCATTTCTGAAGAAGTTAAATGGCACATTGTGAAAGCTATTTTAAAGCTTTACAATTCTTTGGTTAGACATAAACAACATTACCAGAGTCAAAAACATTAGCAGATTTGAGTCCTGGAGTAACACTTACCAACTTTCCACCTCTTGCAAATGTAAATCAACAACTTTATATAAGAACCTATCAAAAGTGAACATTTAAAGGATGCCACTTTGTCAGCTGTAATGCAGAAACACTAAATACATTTATTCCTAGACACACCAATACAGAAAAGTATTTGGAAACAAGTCTTACCTGAATAATAGAAAGAACCCATAAATTTCCAGGATCATTCCTATGAGAGGCCAACCAATGAGAACTATGAGTACACCACCCAGGAAAAAGCCTGTTGCTTTCATTTTGTGTTTTTGAAAGAAGAATCTAAATGTTCTTTCTAAACCAATAACAAAAGACAAGCCAGCCACAAATAAAACCTAGAAAAGACAAAAAACAAGCAAATAAACAGTAATTATATTCCTAAGTTTAGAAAGTAAACACATACATAGTCTAAAATATTAAATCACATTTCTTGCACAACTTCTTTTAATATGAAAAGACAGATGGTGAAAAGCCATGTACTAGTGATTTTCTCATACAAAGTCCATCTTAAAGCATTTGTAGCTAGCATTCAACTCTACTCACAGCTGCTTAAAAAGGTAAAGAGTCTGCCTTTGTGGTCTCTGACAAACATAATGATGTCAGGCCCAGTGACAACAGTTATATCTGTTCTGCAACATAAATACAATCACTATCCACAAGCAGTGCTGGAGATCAGTACCACTGACAGCAAAGGTTCCTAAAAACTTAGAACAGACATCTTTAAAAAAGCACCTCTGTTCTGTCCCATGGACATCTCCAATAGTTTGCACTGATTTACTCAACAGTGCAAAGCCAAGAAAGGAAAACAGCTGAAGAACATTATCAGTTATCTTCTTTGTCTTTTTTTACTATTTATGGTCTTTTACTGTCTACTGGTTTCAGTGCAGACTGAACACTATCACCCTAGTCCCAACTAGGTAGAACTACTTTTAGTATCCTTTAGCAACAGGACTTTTAATTAGTTCAGCTTATAAGCAAACATCTGGGCAAAATTTTTGCAGAAAGGGAGAGAGTATAATATATTTTACTCAAGATTATAGATGAAATTTAAGTTTTTGATGTTATTTAATTAAACACTTTCTTACCACATTTTCTCCTTTCTGACAGAACTTTTTTTTTTCCTTTCTAAACTTTCTGTACAGATGCAGCACCTTTTCGTACATTATCTTTGGTTACCACACCACATAGCCTGCCATTGCCTCTTCCTACCTTTATTTTCATCATTTTCCCTAAACAGGATCTCATATTTCCCCCTCACATTAGGAAAAGAAAAAATAAGCATTATTTTATTTTTTACTCTTCCACTATACATTTCATTGATGGTTCAGAACAATGCTTCAGCTAATACACCCAAATGCAAATATACATTTTAAGTTCTCCTTCAGTTAATCTCAGTATTTGACTCTGCTGCCACAGAATGAAACTGACCAGTTTTGACCGCAGACTTTTAGGGATCAACAAAGGAGGATGCGAATCTCTATCGCACTGTGCTCTTGGCTGGCTGGCAGAACTGAAAGGAGTGGAGGCACAGAGATTATATCACATTCAGAAAACACCCTGTCATTTTATATTTGCTTTGAACTGGGAATTTTTTGTACCAGAATGAGTATTTATTTTCTATCCTGCTTTAAGCGAAAACTCTGATTTTGTAAAAACTGAAGATATTAAATCTTTCTATTATGAAGGGTCACTGGTTCTTCTAAGCCCAGACTATAAGCAATTCATCTTTTTTTCATCATAAAGTACAGCAAAGCTACATTTGCTAGCACGTGCAGAAAACTTCACTATTCTTATCCAGATGCTTAAATTTGACAGTTATTACAGAATAATAGGTTGGAAGAGATCTCTAGGATCATCAAGTTCAACTGCCAACTCAACACCACCATGCACACTAAACCATGTCCTAAAGTGCCACATTCTTTTAATGCATCCAGAGATGGTGACTCCACCACTTCCCTGGGTAGCCTGTTCCACCACTCTTTCAGTAAAGAAATTTTTCCTAATATCCAAACTAACCCTCCCCTGCCACAACTTGAGGCCACTTATTCTCATCCTATCACTTGTTACCTGGGAGAAGAAACCAATACCTACCTCGCAACAACCTTCTTTCAGGTAGTTGTAGAAAGCAATAAGGTCTCCCCTCAGCCTCCTCTAAACTAAATACCAGCTCCCTCAGCTGCTCCTCATGATCTCCAGACCCTTCACCAGCTTTGTTGCCCTTATCTGGACATGCTCCAGTGCCTCAATGCCCTTCTTGTAGTGAAGAGCCCAAAACTGCACACAGTATTTGAGATGCGGCCAAAAGCCAATCTAAAAACCTTATCTGCAGCAGCAAAACAGCTGTAGAACAAGCTACTTCCTGTCTGACCAACATACTGCAAGCCTGACCTAGAGGTACTATATTTTGATTCATGTGAGTTACTCTAATCAGGAAAAATTATTCACTTGTATCATTGAGCTAGACTCTTTTTGCCACAGTACTTTTTGTGATCCAGTTTCAAAGTGATAACATTGTTCTATTTTTAGTTTATTTTTAATATATTTTTAGTATAATATACTTAATTTTAAGCAGTGCAGAATCTAAGACTAAACAGCAGGCACTTACATTTCCAATAGCCAAAAGAGCTTTGTCAAAGAAGAGTATCATTCCAAAGAAAAGGAAGAACACTCCAAAGCCTGTTAGTCCCATTCCAATCTCTGAAAAAGAAACAAATTTAGTCATGTAACAAAATATTATACTAGGAAAAACTCATGCATAAAGACTGTGAAAAACTTAAAATGTAAATTGTGAAAAATCTTACAACATCCAATCCACAGACATTTTACATTTCTAAAAAGAGTTAGCCTACATTATGAACACCTAAAACCTTCCCCGAGTCTACAAATACAGCAAGTCTTGTAGACATCAACTACTTCAATAACAGACAGATAAATCTTTGAAAAATGCTTATCAGAAAATACATATTTGGAAATTCATAGTGAAATTGAATGCAACAAAGATGTCCTTGCTCACTGAAAGGAGGTTGGACCAGATGACCTTTAAAGGTCCCTTCCAACCCAAACCATTCTATGATTTTATGATTAAAGCTTGTATATGTATATATACATACAGCACAGACATTTCTTCTGATGTACTGCTAGTATGGAGAAAAGGATTGTTTTGTGAAAAGACAACAAAACTTTGCATTCCATTTGTAACTCTGATCCCATTATGGTTACTGCAGTAATGCAAGTACCCTGGTCCTTTCCATCCTCCTGAGACCTCACATTCCACCTCCCCTAATCTTGCACAGCAGTCCTACTTTCCTCAGCTGCCAGATTAAACACAATTCAGATTAATACTGTAGGCTCTTTCCAAGTTACACATGCGATGATGGCCATTAAACACTAGCGTGGGTCTCCAGCCAGTTGCCAGTTTCCACAACAGTAGTAGAATCACAGAATCATTAAGGTTGGAAAAGACCTCTTGTCTGAAAGTACCACATCTACACATTGGGTAGATACTAAATATCTTTGCATTCTGCCTGCCTGTAAAAGTTGCTCAGGAAATATTGGGAAGGCAAGAGCAGGATGGAAGGTTTGTCTGAGAAACTGGCCTGGAAACGTCAAGGTATGACTGAAGCTACCATCTGACAATAGCCTCTAAGGTAACTCTAAGACCACAGAAACACATCCTACATTTTAAATTAAACCTCTAAGTCCTTCCTTTGACTCTCACACAGAATGAGTAGGAGGCAAATAACAGGAACAGCAGCAACACAGCTGCAAAAAATCTTTGCATTTATCCATGCACTCACCCTTACATTATTGCTATCCCTATAACCAGAGAATTAAGAAATCCACAGGGTACATAAAAACAGCTAGCAAAACCAGCCATAAGACTATAGACAGGCTGGCAGCCCAGTGTGTGTGTGTGTATATATATGTATATATATACACTTATATAAAATGTATAAAATCATATATTTATATGATCCTAGTAGTTTTGTATAGTCTAGCCTGAAACAAACAAAAATCCCCACCCACACCATCATAGCCTTCAGTGCTACTGTTAGTCAGATCATCCTAAATGTATTTTAGTTGCACTTCCAACTGCATTGTAGCTCTAGTTGATAGTTTACTGTTGCTCAAAGAGCTCAGGAATAAAGGAGTATCATTCTGCCCATTAGAGAAGATCCATTTAGTTACTGAAAAAAAAAAACCCACCAAAAACAACAAAACAAAAACACCAGCTCAGAGTAAAAAGATTTGTTACAGCAACATGCAACTTCCCTAACTTCTGTATAGGCTCACCTTTCACCAAGGTTGCAGATCACATGGTGTTAAATCTGCAGTTCTACAATATCGCCTGCCACTTTGAACTTCTGCTATGAGCACTTTAACCACCCAGAATTAAAACTACTGAGTAACCTACTACAACTGACTTACTGCAGACATTCTCAATACTTGTTTACGACAAAAAATAGAACTGCAGATTGTATTTTCAGTGAATCTGCTGAGTGAAGGCAATGTAACAATTGCAATCTGCCCTTTTCTCTAGTACTCTTTACTTTAGAAGAGCAGAAACAATCTGTATTCTGGAAAGAAAACACTCAGAGGCAGGACTCCAAAGAAATTATCAGCTGCCAGTAAGATAAATATGCCATCATGGGAAACAAGTAAGTAGGGATCTAGCAAGAAGGCAGAAGCCAACTCCCAACAGCTGTTGCAACTGCTACTCTGACACTTCTCCTGTATTCACTTGAAACATGTTTGTAATCACTTACTGCTACCATGGATTCAGATTCACTTTAAAAGTCAACCATATTTGCTGGCTAGTAGAGGGAAAAGGAAAAAAAAATCAAGACCATTCTCAGTCCCAAAATTACTGCTGAAAGAAGATGAGTAGTCCAGGACTATTATTCTCTGTTGTCAGTATCTCAGTAGAAGGTATTACTGACTTAATTCATAGCAAAATTTGGAAATATGCTTGACTGGCATTCTTGGAAGAAAGAAAAGAAAAAAAAGCACTGTAATTTTATATATAATCTTCATAACAATGAACTAGGAATTTTTATAGAGGGTGTGAACTATTTTTAAATGCTTTCTCCTGCACCAGAAGAGCCTTCCCATATTACTCAAATACAGTATTTCAATGCCTAGAAAGGCAGAAACACATCCTAGCCATATGACATTTACTCCAGATTTTTTTAAATTATTATGATTTATGGAGAGGAAGGAACAATGCTTTCTCAGTGTTTCTGCAGAAAACCAGTGAGCTATGCAAAACTACCGCAGCACTGTCCCAGAACAGCTTAGCAAATAAGACTTAAAATTAAGATACATTGCTTGTTAAAGCTCAGGAAAAACAATGCACATCCTCCATCTTTTATGTACAAAATAAGATTAGAATTGCACACTATGGGCTCTAAGAAGACAAAAATTAATCTAGTTTATAGATTATGAAAAGTTTTAAAATTTTTAATTATTTTGATTTTGCTAGTAAAAAAAATCGATTTGCTTAGGGAAAAATTAAATATATTCTTGGCAATTACTGGTGATTTATAATTATTCAATGATTCATTTAAAAAGTGTTCTAGACTACGGGTGCAAATTTAACTTTCCAAGCATGAAGTAACACAGTGGTCCTCTCCAGGTATTTGTCATGCTACTCCACCAGTAACTCTACGGCAGACTTCTTATTTTTCCACACAAGTTTAAAAATATATTCAGAATGTTAGAAGAATTGTGGGAAAAACCCCTGAAAACCACTGAACTCCACAGTATTTTACTTCCCACGCTTGACTCCGAAAGTTAAAAACAGTCAGTACTGGAGTTAGCTCCTCATTTGGGACCTTCAGCTATGAAAAAACCCCAAAACAGTGATTAGGATCTCCTCTTCCTGAAGAGATTCCCCCCACTCCCCAATAAATACTATGGAGAAGAGGATAGGAGAAGGGGCAAAAGCAAAGATCCCAAGATTTTAATCAATCAGAAATCTAAAAGTTAACTTTAGGGGTTACTAAGGGTTAGTACTCATCCCAGTAACAGAGCACAGCACCTGGATTTCTCAATAAACCATTGACCTTGAATGCTGCTAGCCTGCTTTTCTGCCTGTCTTCATCCTTGGCCTTGACTGGCTCTCCAGTATCTGTTTCCAGTATTCTGCTATCAAGTTAAACTTATTTTTTTTAAAACTTCCTTTTCCACATTTTTCACGCTTACCTTCATTCATAAGTGACCCTACAATGCTTATCAAGCAGTCTCATTTCCCTTCACAGCAACCATGCCAGAAATGTATCATATGTAAGATGTCAACTTAAATCAAAGACCTGATATTCTCCTTTACCTTGCAGTTTAAACTGTTATGAACTCCTTTAATTTGATTTCTTTGTATTTTCCCTTTCAGCATCTTTATTTCCAAATATTTCTATTCAGAGGAAACAGAACTGTCACATGCAAGTATTTCTGGTTTATTTTTTTTTTTTACTTCAGACTGAATGTCTGGTCCTCGCCTTAAAACCCCCTCAGTGTCAACTGCCAATGTTTAGTGTGATAGCAGCAAGCTAAAAGAAACACAGCAGAGACACTGACATATAGTTGATTACAAACCACTGATGTCCACACGGAAGCATACTAGACGACTTTAGGTAACTCTGACTTCTGTTTACAGTTCAGCTTTCATTCATTCTCGCCATCGCCACACCGCAGTACCCAACAAAGGGCTCCCAGCCCAAGACAAACGTTAGCAGCGGAGGCAGCGCTGGCGTCCGTGTCCTTCTAAAGACGTGGGAGCCCGCCCCGCCGAGCGCTCCTCTGCAGCCCCGCAACCCGCTTCACTTGCCGTTTCACCTGGCAACCCA